GACGACTTGCAGATTTTCCCCTCTGCCTAGGGGAAAAAATCCCCCTGCCACCTGAGCTCTCCCAGAACCGGTCAGCGGGTGCGTTTTGGGTGTCACCAGTAAAGCCAGGGTCTGCTCCAGGCCTCCGCGGAGCTCCCTGCGCAACAGCCCCCCGCCCACAGCGGCGGCACCGCCGGGCGCGTCCCGCCAGCGGCCAACTGGAAGTTTTGTATAAATGAACCTGATTCCAGGATATGGCTGTAATTTATATTAGATGCCTCATCTGAAAATATAATAAAAGATGAAAATGGGTCTTTTAAGCTTAAAAATGTAACAGTGAAGATGAATCATGATACTAATTTGTGGTACAGGACAATCCATAATGTATTAAGGTAATTCTGATACAACTCAAGAAAGCCAGATGACAGAGAAGTGAGGTATCTCAAGTTACATCAGTGTAAACACTGTGGGGAAGCAGACACCTCTTAGGAAAATTGTGCCAGAGTTACTAATGCTGCATAGAAAATCACGTGTTAATAAACAGGCAGAACATAGCTGATGAGGCTGATAAAATCAGAATGAACTTAAAAATATTAGGAAAGCCAGACTTTTTTGATGTTAATGTCAGGGTTGTCTGAAATTTTGTACTTAAATCCAAGTAGCCTGGATTTTAAAAACAGTAAACTGTTAAAATCTTTGAAAGCCAAGCCTTTTTTCAATTTCTGTTTAGCTCAAGTTTCAATTCTTTTGTGGCTTAATTTTCATAAATGCTTATATTATAGTGATTGGAAATGCTGGGTACTTAGTGCTTCTAAATTTTGTCTCAGATACTTAATTGCTCCATATAATCTAAAAGAAAATGTAAGCTTGAAAGATGCGCTTGGTGGGAAATGTGAATGCAGGAAATTGTTTTCATTTTTTTCCCAACAATTTCTGGCATTATTTAGGAACAATCTGGGGGAAAAAACAATCCCTCTTGAACCATTGAGGCAGTTCCAGCAGACATCATAAATTTGTCAAGGTCTGTTTTAAAACTAATTTCTCGTCCTACCTCATATTGGAGGACTTTTCTAGAACATCATGCCTCAGATGGCTACAGAACATCTGATTTCCAGTTGTAAACTTTTTATGGTCCATTTATAGCTTTCTGTTCTTATGCCAGCATCATCCATTATTTTACATAGCTTGGATGTCATGATCATATTTCCTTTTGGCTTTTGTTTTTCCCTGTTTTCCCCAAGCCAGCTGTTTAATCTCCTTTTAGGAGACAGGCTTTCTTTCTGCATTCGTTCTAATCTTGTATACATCCATTCCAGCTTGGATTCATCTTTCTTGAATTCACTTAACCAGAACTGTATACTGTATTCCAGATGGACTTTTTCTTGTGCTTTATTTGATAACATTAATACATCCCGTTATCCCTGAAAGTAAGTCTACCCATCTTTTCTGGAGCTTCCTTGGTCTTTTATGCTGTTTTGTTATTCATTTGTTGTTTTGATTTTTATTTTTTTTTTCCATCTCTAAGGCCATCCACCTCTTGGTTGACACTCTGACCCTGTCTCTTCTGATGATGTATTTTATCACGTGAAAGCCATCAATCACATAGTTAACTGTTTTCTGTGTTTCTCCAGTTAAGGCCATTGTCACAACTGAAAACATTTAAGCAAAATGATCTTTGAGCATCTTTACTTATTAGTTCCCTCTGGACAAATATTACCCTTTTCAGTGTAACTTCTCTTCTTTGCTTGCTCACCTTACATTTCTGGTGCTACTCAGTTTTCCCCAGACTGACAAAAACGTCACTTGTTGCACTGTGTCAGATGCGGAGTAGAAGTACAGAGAGGTGAGACTGGCATTTCTCATGCCTAGAAAAAACATTTGTCAAAGGAAGTTACTAGGTTAATTTAGTGTCAACTATCTTACTTTTGTTTCCTTTTATAGACTAGTCCTTATAGGATTGCTTTCAAAGTTTGTTATGTTGCCTGTTTTGCTGTTGAGACTCTCCTGGATCTGTATGGGATTGTGTATCCTTCCTATTTTTCATTACCATGAGTCTGTTTACTCTGACAGGTTTCAGACATGATACTCTCCCCTGATATATTAGAAGCATTGTGGTGAGATTGGCAGCCTCATTCACAGGTTCTTTAGTATTTTTCTGATGGAGACGATCTATCAACTTGAGTTTTTGACCTTCATCCTTCTTCCATACCCTAGGCAATTTCATAATTTTAAAGTCCTAATTCTGTATCTCATATGCTGTAATTTGTGCTTTCATATTCTTATTTTGTTTTTTGACCACCTTCTCCACGTCATTTTTATGGAAAAGGCAAAATATTAATTTTGTTTTGGAGTAGTACTGTAATTACATTTGAGCCTCATCTCAAGGTCACTGTAGAAGTTCTAACTCCTTTATCACATGGTTTCTTTCAAGGTATTTTTACTTTTTATGTAATTTGTTTTGGAAGGTTGACATTTGGTGATTCTTCCTTTAGCCTTTGCTTTCTGACCTCCAAGATGTAGCTTTATATTGGCTTTTTTCACTTCTTAAAAACTTTCTTCATGCTTTCAAAAAATGATCATTCATCCAGTTAGATCTGCAGTCCTTCCCTACAATTCTGCCCTTGCTCAGGAATCAATTTGCCACTTTATGTCAAATCAATTTTGTCTTCTCCTTGAGTCCCTTCAACCTCTGATCTAACTGACTGGAGTTAGGTGCAGGTAGTGTCTTCTTTATGCCCTTTTTCATTCTGTTCCTAAACTGCTCATTTCAGCAAAAAGATTTATTGGCTGAAACCTCTCCAATTTTTCTCAGTTTGTCTTCTGTCACCCTGCACACTTTGTTTCTGCCCCGCATGTCTATAGCAGCACGCATTAATGTCAGAGATACTGTGCGTTGGAAGTTACTTGCAAAATTATTGATCATCATCACATTCTTCTGGAAGAAGGGCATTAATATACAGCTGTGGTTTATTTTATGGTTTTAGGAGCATGGCTGTGGCATCAGCATTTCAAAATAGTTAGGCATGTCATTACTTGGATTCGTTGGGCAGTAGTGTAACAAATGTCTGTGTAAGACATTCATTTTTGACAGCCTGGCAGTATATTCACAAGCTTGTGCCAATGCTGTGTTCTCTCTGGCAGTTCTTACACTTGCTTGTTCACAGTCTTGCCTCAGACCAACATGAAAATTTTCTTCTTTATAACACGTGACCCTTTCCAACTAGAACCCTTTTTTTGGCATCTTTATTCACATGTGTGATGCAATCATTCACACTAAAATGTTTTCTGTCTTAGGTCCTTTATTGATACATGCAGATTTCTCCTCTTTTTTTATCTCCTGTTGGGTCACTGTAGCATTTGTCTTTGCCCAGATCATCTTGCAAGTACAGTACACAATAATTGAAAGTGTTGTTTGCAGTCTTAAATTACTAATGAAGCTACAAGATAATATAGAACTTTGAGCTTTGGCCCCCATTACTCTCACTTGTTAATTCTGGACCAAGATTTAGTAGGTAAGCTTTTTAGGGCAGTAATGGTATCTTTATTTGCCTATAAAACATTTGCCCCAGTTTGGGGCACTATTTTAAGACTTTGTCAAGGCTTTTTCCCCACAGATGTCAGCTTCAAATAATTTTTCCTTGGAACACCATTTACCACTCCTACCAATTCTTTTCCCCTTTCTACTCTTACCTGCTTTTGTTTTCTTGTCTTTAAAATAGTGTATAAGATTGGGCAAGTTAAAAACCAGTAGGGATTTATAGAAGCTTTTGAACTGAGTCAGTGACTCAAAATGAAAATCATCTTTTTTGTATGTTATTTTACACGCAGCAAGTCAATAACAAAGACTCTCTAGTCATAGCTCAATACAAAATAAAGTCTTAAGACAGACCTAGAAAGTCAGTTTTTCCCCCCACATCTTGTCTTTAAGAGGGACCTTTAGCAGATGCTTAAAGAAGGAGCTCAAGAAACAAGAAGAGAGTAGTGTAAACCTTTGCCTTGTGTATCCACTTCTGCAAGTGAGTAGCTTAGGGACTTCCAGAGCCCAAGACTGTATCTGGATCATTGTCTCTGATAGCTGTCTGTGCACATATCCTCCATGAATTTGTCTAAACCTTTTTTGAACTAATTTATATTTTTGGCTTCCATAGCATCCTGTGGCAATGAGTTCCACAATTTAATTATGTGCTTTGTGAAAGAGTACTTCCTTTTGTTTGTTTTAAATCTGCTGCCTGATAATTTCATTGGGTGCCCACTTGTTATGGGAAATAATACATCACAATTTACTGTTTGCTTTTCCACATTTTTCTTAATTTTTATAAACATCTACCATAGTTGTCTTAACTTGGGAAACTAATGACTGTATCTGGTGAGTTAAGAGCCATAGCCTAATTAGTCTCTGTCCAGGGCCTGTTCTATAGCTTGGATAATGTAGCTTTCTCACCCTGTGGTGAATTTGTCTTGATGTTCCCATGTCTTCCTGAGGTGAGATGACCAAACCAGTATGTAGTACTTAAGGTGTGGATGCACTGGGATCTAGTAATATCCTGTATTAGTGTAATCTCTTTGGTGTAGCTGTCTTCTGTCACCACAGAAGCTGGTATGACTTAGAGCAGCTGCACAGCTCTTCTTAACTTGGACTCCCAAGACCAGCAAAAGCCTAAAAGCTACTGATGTACTCAGTATGAAGCAGTGTCATAGGTTAGATGCATGTTTTCCTCCAGTAATGAAGGCTTATTGCTTATGTTTTCAATTCATGCTCAAGAGTCAAAAAGCGAATATGGTATTCGTGTCTCTTCTGATCTGAGGGGCACAAATCTAGAATAGACACAACTTACACTTTTGAGTTACGGTAGCTGTAGTTGTTCTGAGGCATCATTCTGCTGGGGCGTTATGCTTTGAGACTTCAGCTGATGTGATCTCATTTATTCAACTAGGGAACCTTCATGGCAACATGTCATTAGTAGGTCTGGAGGAATCATGTCTGCAAGTTGATTCAGATCCATGTTTTATTCTGTGTGGGTTCAGTATTATGTTAGTTCAGATCCCAAGTGCACTCATGGCATAAATTTCTTGATTGTGACTGCTTACCATGCTTTGGTTTGTGTCTCAGAGATGGCAAAGTGTCTTCCTTTCAGTTGAAACTATACTGCACTCAGATGAGTCCAGAAAGATGTACTCAGCGAGCATACCTAATACACTCCAGTTATTGTTGGCAATATACTGTCCTATGGCCTAAGCTGGAGCTCGGCAAGCGTGAACTCCCCTGAATTGGTGTGTAGTCCTCAGCACTATTTTGCTCTACAGCTAAACTCCTCTTGCACTGTGCTGTTTGCTAATGTAGGCATAGGTAATGCAGATCTCTGTAGAAGTTTTAAAATATTTTTAAACAGAATTAAACTTGCCACTAAGTTACTTATACATGAGTCCTTTAGCATATATTGTAGAGCATCTCACCATTATTACCACAGATCTTCACAGTACAAAACCATTAAGCCAGGTTCATGTATTGAGAGGAAGTTATCTTAAGGTCACATAAAGACATATGTAGTGGAGGTGCAAGTATAATTTGGATTGATTAAGTCTTAGTCTAATGTCTGTGTCAAAAAGTCTTTTTTTCCAGAATAGATTAAAAAGAAGCAAAATACTAACAGCCTTAATTTAAATAAGAATCGGGCTTTGTAACTGGAGAGTCCTTTCATAACTAGTACTTTGTGATATTTTGCTGTGACATTTGATTGGCAAAACACACTGTCGCAGACATTCCAGAGCAACCCTGGGACGTTATTGATTGTTTTTGTCTCTGCAATTAAAGTCACACTTGAGGTTTTGTGCCACACCTGTTGCTGTAACCTATGAGATACTCATCATTCAGTTGTCTGGGATGAAAAAAAGAGAAATCAATATTCTGTCTGTTTGTAATCAGGCATATGCTGCAATTCCTGCCTATTACTTGAGGGGCTTAATGTACATGTACGTATTCCCAGGCAGCATTAAGCCTGATGCAGACCAAAAATACTGTGTTTACACAGTTAGGCCAAGCAGTTCCAGAAACATTCTGAAATTATTGCTTATTCACAATGTATTCGTGCCATGCAGGCATGGTAACATTGTCAGAGGGAGGAAAAGGTACTAGTAGGAGCAGTTTCTTAATAATTCCAGAGAAAGTAACTCAGCCTTCATTCTTGCTCTTGGAAGCACAGTGGGCTAGATCAGTTGTTTTAAGTCAGTTTTGTGCATCCCTTAAGCCTCAAGCAGAGCTTTCATGCCTTCTCTTGCTATGCTGGCATGACAGAGAGGGGAGACTTCTGAGCAGACTCCTCTGCCTAGGAACAGGTAGAAGAAAAAAACTTGTTTGTGTTTGTTGGTTTTGTGTATGCTGCATATGAGATGGATGTTGAATGTGTTCTTTGCTATTTCTTTTGCAGTTTGGGCTGCATGAAATTTCTTCTGCAACTTGAACCAGCAAAGAGGTGTACTACAAAGAGACTTCTCAAGAAAGCATTAGATTACTTCTTGAACAGAAGTGAAAATAATTGCATTATTAATAAGTTAGATGTCAGGCTATCATGCCTTTGACTTGAAAGAATAATTTTATGACATTACTGTGAATCAGTGCAAACTTTAAGAAAATGTTTATTTTTATCTCCTAGGCTACACGACATGCAGAGATGGTGGTAATCGATCGGGTCCTTGACTGGTGCAAGGAACACAACAAAGAGTATACAGAAGTGTTTGCGCACTCGGTATTGTATGTAACTGTAGAGCCTTGTATCATGTGCGCAGCTGCCGTGCGCTTGATGAGTATCCTTCCATGCTTATTCATGCTGGGAAACCATATGTCAAAATGTTACTCTTCTGGCGGTGAGCCCACAGAGAAGGGCTTGATACTGTCAGGCAAAGCCAAAAGGGATAACATCTTCTGGTCTGGGAGCCTGCACCCACCTCCATTGGCTGCATGCTAAATGGCGAGATATTCAAGAATGAAACGGAAATTGCACAATTGTGACAAACAACACGTTCTCTTAGGGATGTAAAAATATATTTTAGAGATAATGTTATTATGTAAAGTGAGCTAGTCTCAGTTCAGTGTTCAGTTCTGAATGTTGTAACAATCAGCAAACCATGGCTTTATGCTTCTGCTTTGGGATTCATGGTTCTCCTTTTCTGAGGAAGGTGGATGTGTGCATCTTCAGCAGGACATCTTGCATTACTCAGAAGTAAGCTCTGATTTTATGAGGGAAGAATTGTAGTACAAACTAATTTAGTTTGAAAAGTACAAGCACATTTTAGTGAAATTTAATGACTACTTAAATCAGGCTACTGTATTTCCTGCTCACTTTTCACTTTAGCTTAATACCTTAACTTGTTTACATAAATTCCACGGGTCGTATATGGCTGTCGAAATGAGCGATTTGGAGGCTGTGGCTCAGTTCTGAGCATCTCGTCTGATGATATGGTAGACACAGGAGAACCATTTGAGGTAAGTTATAAAATGTTTTCCTTTGTTTTTCAGCTAGGGTACTTGTACCTAGCTTTTTTACCATGCTTTGAGAATGTTATGTGTCCAGTTTAAGAGGACTCAGATCAAAGATGATCAAAGTCAAGTAAACTTGACTTAAGAAGAAAATAATGTTAAAAAAATTAAGTCCTAAAAGAAAAAAAAAATTGAGGAAAAACCTGATGACAATCTTAAAATATTTAAAAGGATGCGTCAAAGATGAAAGGAAAGAATTACAGTTGTGGAACAAGGTAAGGAATAAATATATCTAAAAGATATGTAATACTTAAAACAGTAAGTGTTTACTGCAGGAAGAGATGAGGGAAAAATTATTTTAAACTGCAGAATGTACAAACACATAATCAATAAAGATCAAGTAACAGCAACTTACTAAGTTACTGGGTATTAGCTAACTGGAAATTATTGTATTTTTGCTCCCAGTCTACCCCTATATGAGGTAAATGCATAACTTTAGACTTACTTCATATAGTTCCAATCTCAAAATAAATGTGGACTGCAAAAGTAGCAGAGGAGATTTAATGCAGATATTAGGAAACTTTCTGAACAGTAAGGTTACTGAAGGACTAGAACAGAGTGGGGAGAATGAGCCATCTTTGTCATTTAAGAAAGGCTGGACAAGCATTCAGTGGAGGTATAGTATACATAAATCTAGCTCCTTTACAGCATTATACTAGTATACCTATACATACATATAGAAAGAGAGTATTTATAGCATTATATTTATTACATTACACAAAGTTGTAGAGGATCCTGCTTTATACAATGGTACTGATTAGGGTTCTTAGAGTTCTTTTCCACACAACATTTATGATTTAATGAATGTAAAAAACAAGTAATATATTTCAGCATTGTAATAAGCACTATAGGCTTAGGGCTCAGAAAGAATTTCTATCAGCAAGATGACACTGTTTGACAGTCCATTGTAAACATATTAAGCACCTTTCTGTCAGGGTGTTTGTGAGACTAGCATCTGAATTAATTTGTGTAGTCAGTACTGGAAGATTGTTCATCTGCTGACATTTGCATGTGGTATTTAATTTTTCTATATGTTCAGAAGAAAAACGGAGAAGATTTTTCCTTTGTTTCTCTAGGCAACTGTAGTGGGATGTATAGGTGTAATATATTATTTTCCAGCGTGGATGGAGATTCATTCAGTGTTAGTGACATTTAAAGGTTTTGTCATTTGTCCATGTTCATGGCCTGGAAAAAAATTTTGAAAGGACAGAAAAGGTCTGAGAAGTGACTGCTAGGAATAAAGAGTTGGTGTGTGGACGAATGTTTTCTGGTAGGGCTCTTAGGTACAAATACCTTGGTGTATGTCTCTTACATTTCCTAGTGCTTGAGGGGTATATGAAGTAATCTGGAAACACATTAATAAGAAAGAAATTGGAGATTGCATTAAAATGTTATGTAAGTTACTAAGAAAGTTTGTTTTGCCTAACTTTAAGTTATTAGGGAAATTGTTTACTCTGCTAAGCCTCAACAAAGTATTTTTCAAAGGTAGTAGGTATTCAGCCTGAAATTTTCAGACCCCCAAATTGACAGTACAGTTGTTTCCAATTGTTCTGTACTTAAGGCATTATTGCGAAGCATGGAATGTGTTATTCTCAGATGTGCTCATGAACCATCATTCTAATTTGAACAGTGCGTTTCTGGCTATCGTGCCAAAGAAGCGGTGGAAATGTTAAAAGCTTTCTACAGACAAGAAAATCCCAATGGTAAGTTTCACATTAATGGATCCATTTTGATCCCAGTCTAATTTAAAAGAATGCTGCCACTGGCATTACTGTAATGCAATTCTGATGGTTTTTCTCCCTTTCTGTTTCTTGGCAGCACCAAAATCAAAAGTACGTAAAAAGGACAATCGTAATTAGCCTGATGGGGGACAGAAACTGACCAAAAAATGATACATGAAGGTGACTCCAGCATACTTCTCTTTCAAAATGTACAATTTAACTATGTAGTCCAATTAAACTATGTCTGATGTTCTGTACTGGTTTTACTAATTGGATACTTACTACCTGTTCCCATGTTTCTATGTAAGTGATTTCTCCGTATCATACATGACCAAGGAAAAGACTAAGTGGCTGTTTTTAGAAAAAGGAAAATGTATGGTTCAAATTCACTTGTTTACAGCCAGTTGGATCCATTAAAACGATGTCCTTCTGTACATTCTGGTGTATTTTCTTTCCTTATGTCTGTGGAGAAGCATCTTGCTTTTCAATAGTAAATGTTTGCTTAGGGAAGTAAGTATAATCTCTTGGAATGTTAAGTTTGTAAGATCTTCACAGTCCTTGTGTGTATATTTAATCAAAAGGCATATAAGGAATTGTACAGTCCTTAAAGACTTGAGATAAGACTGTTTTTTTGTTGGTTGGGTTTTTTTTTTATGCCCCTCTTTCAGGCCACTTCTGAAAGTCATGTACATATGTAGACAGGTATATGTGCAGCATCACACTTCTCCGTTTGTGTGTGCTATTGCTTATTAGGTGTAAGTAAGCATCACTTGGCTGCGCAGCATCTTCATACAAAGTTGTGGAGAAAATGGCCACAACACTTTAGACTGTCCACTCCTTTTGTGAATATTAGTATAAGAAATGCTCTGTTGTTAAGAATCTGCTAAGAAATAGAATTTGGTTTTGGCTACTCCATTATAGTAACTGAGATGGGCAGATGCATGTGAAAACCAGGAAATGAAATTGGTAATAGTATGAAGAAAATATATTTGAGATATTTATCTTTTTATAAGAGTGGTTGGCTTTGTAATTTCCATGTACTTTGCTTGGCCATGCAGTAATTTATAATCCAGAAGAGGGCCTTACAGTTCCACTAATGAATTAAGAATACAAGTACAGTTCAATCTTGATTATATACCTCTTAGCGGATACTTGTGAAACTGTTTATAGTCTATTCGGCTGATATTCAGAAATTCAAGAAATGCCCTAGCTTTTTTTTTTTTTTAAATGCAAAAGTGGTTAGAATTTTGTGGCTGTAAAAACTGAATACAATTAAACCTTTTAGATATTTCAAATAAATACTTTCCAGAGTGTTTTTTTAAAATAACACTAAAAGCATTACTTTGTCACCATTGCTCCTAATAGCTTAGAATTTGTGTTTTGTGTATTTACTTATTGTTTAGAGAGTAACATGGGAAAGAAGCATTTTTACCATAATAGCTATTTTCAGAGTTTAGAAATAGCATTCTTTTTACTGACATCGGTGACCTATCTTGTTCTCCCGACCATTACTTACAGCACTCTTTCAAAGTCTTTTCCTTTTCATAACCAAAAGAAGTTAATGACTCTGTAGAATTCATCAGCTTCAGAGCTCCGAGGGCTCACAAACCAGACAGCTAAGCTGGAAAAGCTATTTAGGCAAAGACTCTTCTGAATGACTGCGATGGCTTTATTGGAAAGAAACGGTCACACCCATGGTTACAGAATTGGCTGGTGATGTAAGATAGCTCTTTATCTGTACGGATGCATACATTCAGTTCTCAACTGGACCATAGTTTTCTTGTACCTTGAAGTCACTGAAGTCCAAATTAAAGACATTACACTTCTAGCTTGTCACTGACATCAGTGCAAGAGGAATTGGAGCCTACAAATTGTTTTGGACTGGGACCTAAATCAGCACCTGTTCTTCTGCAGAGGGGATAAGAACAATTTCCTTCCCCACTACCCTCTTTCAAAGAAGCATGTTGTTAGCATTTGGGTAGTGTGACAGTAGGAGCCATGTAAATAAGTAGAAAGATTACTGGGAGTAGGACAAAATACATTTTAAAGGCTCTGTCCAATTCTACAGTTCTCAGAAGTGAAACAGAAGTATTTTGTAACAGGAATCAGTGGTAAGTTGTCACTTAAAAAACAGTTTAAAAGTCCTGCTCAAAGCCAAAGAGACTGGAGAGGGTGGCAAAAATAAAAATCTCTCTTAAGAGTGATCAAGGGTAATAATGCACATCTTAGAAAAGGGGTATGAAAGAGGAATAGCATAGCAAGCTAAAAAATATGCTATTACAGAAAGGTTATAAAAGATGCTTTAGTGTAATGTGTGAGCAAAAAACCCTAGTCTAGTATTAAGAGGCACATTTGGATGTGTGGGGTTTTGGTGGGGTTTTTGTTTGGTTTTTTTCAGTATAATACCTAGTTTGGGGAACAAGCTGTTAAAAGATGCTAACAGCAAAAATGTAGCCCATTCTCCTTAAAATTCTGTTACTTAAGAACGATACCTCCGCACCTGCAGGTATTTTTATAAAAGGGGGAAATTAACTCGTGTTTGGAAACAAGCCGCTCATCAGAGCCATGGCATGACATCTCAACAACTGGCACAGGAGTGGCTGCCCCCTGCTCTCCCCCCGCAGGCAGTGCTGCGCTGTCCTCCCGCCCTGCTGTTGGCCTTTGCTTACCCTCAGAGGTGTGCCTGGGCTGCTTCTCCTAACCATGAGCATCGTTGCTGTTGTTTAGAGTCGGACTCACAAATGTGAGTGCTGCACAAGGAATTACAGAGATCCTGGGCAGGAGGCTCCAGGTTCAGGGTCAGAGAAATGTCTCTGTGGCTGAGCTCAGGGTGGGCCAGAAGGCAGCCATGACAGTTACAGCCCTATGAGCTGACCAGTTTCAGTGCTCCAGATCAGAAAATGAAGGTAACAAGAGAGTTGGAGAATACAGAAATAAGGATGTCAGAAAGAGAATGGAACCATTCTCGCAACGCCTGTTCAGTGAGGAGACAGTTGCTCATGGTTGTGGTAGCACAGGCTTGGTTTGTAATTGCCGCTACCAAATAAAATCCTGCTGCAAAGCACTCAGAAGCACCCCAGGAATCAAGAGCTGAGGGGTTGCACAGCCTGGAAGAAGTGCTGCTGTCTGCTTGCTGGGGACCTAATTCACAGTCTTTGGCTATAGCCCTGGAAGAGCGTCAAGAGCAACAGCTTTAATTGTTACTGCTACCTGGAAAGCTCAAAGTAGCAGCTTATAAATGATGCTATTCTTTTTCAGAGTACTTTTATCTAGTTGTGTCTAGGTTTTCATATAGCAGGCCTCAAGAGCAGCAGTAAATATATTTAACTGGCTTATTTAAAGAGATTTAAATGCTTCACCATTTTTCTCTTGCTGCTTGATAAATAAAGAGGTAGGCTTCAGCATTACATTTACCTTGGACTGCATTTTTGCCAGTTCATCACAGGCAAACATGATTTTAATTCAACCTTTGGTTTGGTTGTCAATAGTCTGACATCAAAATATATTGAACCAGCTAGGAGGGCAAAGAAGCAAAACAACACGGCTTTGTCTCTGCTAAACCGATTACAATTGACAATCCAAGGCTATAATAAATACGTCTTGTGACTTGCACACAAGGAGAGCCTGAATTTAAATTACAGCTTTGGGTTTTGAAATGCTCACTGATCCATTCCATTCCCATTAAGAGCGCCTTCCGCTCTGCAAAATTAAGTGATATCTTTACATGACAGTTTAGTTAATTTATTTTTTGATATGTGCATTTATGGAGTTTCTCCATTAAGCTTTTGAAATGTCTGTAGGTCCTGTGCATTAATGTAAATGTGCGATGGCCCATAATTACCTTTGGCAGGCTTAGGGCACTGATAAAAAGATTACATTTTTAAAAACTAAAGTCTTCAAACTTCCCTGGTGCTGGCAGGAAATCTATTTCTGTGTTTTATTTGGAGCGAGGCTGGGGAGCCTGCAGCCAACAACTCCAGTGTAGGCAGTAACTGTTAGATTTTAGAAGAAAATACATTTGACGCTAAATGAGAGAAGGGGAGAGGAAGACAATTAGTGTGAGAGTACTAGAAGCAGCTGTTTATTTGCTTTGCCTTGTGGCTGCCAATATATACTCTTATCATTAAACTGCATCTAGAAATGGGGTATTTTCTATGAAATTACTTTGCAAAACATGGATCTTTGTCTTTTTAAGGGGCTGTCCCAAAGTGAGCTTATCTTCCTCTTTCACAATAGCTCTGCGCTAGCCAAGAATGCTGGATTCTCCCTTTGCCTCCTCCTCCCTCCTTGCTAAAAATGAACTTTTCAGGGAAATATGGAATTCAGAGAAGTTTGAAGGAGAGCAGATGGCCAACAGTGATCCAATAGGATGTAAAACTTCACTTAGGTAGTTGCTTGGCAAGCAAGTACAAGTAAGCCCGTGATGTTTCCATAGTGATGTTTCCACATGGTGCCTTCCTTTTGTCTTTTAAAAATCTAAGTGATTAAAATAAAAAGAGGGGGTATTAAAAAAAAAAAAAAAAAGGGT